TAAAATTCACCTTTGAATATTAAAAAAAAAAAAAAAAAATCTAAAATTATAGCACAATATATACAAATAAATTTTCAAAAAAAGGCCTTAGATTTAAGACTGCTGCATAATAGATAAAATTAATATTACTATTAATTATAATTAACATTAAAAAAATCCGACCTTCCGCCAAGAATTTGAATTGGTGATGCAAAATGAAAATTTCGTGGCCTTAGAGTGTATAAATCATGTGATTGAATTGCATCATAGTCTTTTTATTTGGTACGTACATACATAATATCGCTATATATATTTTCATCGATCTACATCAACAAACTTTTTTGCTCATTGATCTCTTAAAAGGATAGTTATTAATATTTCATTTTTTAAACGGATTTAACATCGAGAAGTAATGGACGATAAAACGGTTTTAGGTGGTGGTGCTACAACTTATAATAGTACACGAGCAGGTTTTGTTTCCTTCTTGTTTTACACACTTGAAAGAACGCGCTTTAAAAATTTCTTGCTAAAAAAGGGCAAAGAAAGGGCAAGCAAAAATCGAAAAGTTTTCCTGCCAAAATGAAGTGGCTTGTACTGATCATTGTGATGATTTACAGTATGATCAGTATAAGCCACTTCTTTTTTGTGGGCAAACTTTTAACCTTTTTAATAAAAAATATTCCATCATTAGATAATTGTTTATTTGAATTATATGTCAATATTATTAGGCGCTCCGGTGACGTTAAATTCTAGAGGTCTCTCCTCTCAAAGATTAAATAATACCGATGTTATTCGGATTGAATTGAAAAAAATTGACATTCGGCCTACTGGGGCGCAACTTACTACTTACACAGATGTTAAACTTGCAGTATGGTTTCAATTAAATACTCATGACATCTGTTTGTGTTTGAATGAAATGAAGGATAAAGTTGTCATCCCTCTTAATCAGGTAATAGCAGAATAAAACTATGATCTAATTTAAAAGATACTAGTTTCCAATGCGTTTTTTTTAGATGACTGGTTTCAGAGTTGCAGAGTACAAGGAAATTGAAGTGCAACTTTTAAATAATTTCAAAAGATTGGTGAGGTGTTATATGATCTCATTTATATTACAGCACTTTTTCCATTTAACTGATCTCATGTATTAATCACACATTATTTTAAAGTATTATCATAACAATTATGAAGTAAAAGCAGATCCAACCAATGGTTTATTAGAAGGTGCAACATCATTAATTTTCACGGCTCCATTTGTTGCGCAAAACACATTGATCGCGTTGGAATCCGCAATTATAAAATATAAAACAGATTGTTATATTAATGCTCAGGTCAACAGTTCTTCTCAGGTATATGCTTTATGAATGTTTCTCTATGGCACTAGCTTATACACATTTTTTATAGGAACATCACATTGTAGATGAAGAATGAAATGTTTAATATTTTGGTCTTTGTTAATACATTTGCATCAGATGTATGTGACTTGGGTTCTATTTGTTGAACGAGGTGCCGTGGTTGTGCCGTACGACATTTCCCTCAGTTCTTTATTAAGCCTCGTCGGAAATAAGTTTGATCTTCAATTGAACAGCGAGCGTATTTCATATAAGAATGGGGTCGGAGAAATGATAGCGCTGAGAGATGAAGAAGATTGGAAGGTCGTAAGTAAAGGTTGTATTATCTTTTCGCGTTTTTAATGATAGTCCATATATGCTTATTTATTCCGCATAAGGCGAAATGGGAAGCGAAATATGAGAAAAAGGCTGGTGTGGAAGTACATTT